ATAAAAAAAAAAAAAAAAAAAGGGAATACAAAATTTTTTACTAAGACAAAAAAGCACTTCTCAGTTCCGCCTTTATTTTGGGAGGGGATGCTTCTTTCTTCAAAACATCTTTATCCTTTAATAATTGGAGGCCTTTTAATTCTATCTTTCTCTATACCGAAGTTTCCTTTGCCAGCAACCCTTGTCGCCACTGACGCTTAATCAAGACTTTTTAATGATTGTCTTCCGACCCGACTACCTCTCATCAACCAGAAAGACGAAACTGAATCAATCACAGGACACCGGGAACAAAAAAAATTCTGCTTACAGCGCCAGCAATCATAGATGGGTCTCTTTTCCTTTTCTCTTAGCAAAATTCACGCGTTCCCGGTGGCTACATGTACTTGCGTACTCTGATTTGAAGGGAAGGGAAAATCGAAAAAAATTGGACCGGGCTGCTGTCTGATTTACGTATACTTTTTTACTTCTGATTTCTTCTTGCTACACACCCCTTCTTCCCTCTGAAATGGCCCTCTGCTATGGGCTAGCTCTTATCAAAAATGGTCCCTTTGGCTTACCCCAACCCCCACACGGCTGGTTTCAAGGACTTAGGGGCAAAAAACAAAACAAAAGGACGGGCTACATCGATCTAGCCAGACAGCCTGGCTTGGTTGGTTTTATATCAATGACGACTACGACGAATCTCTTTTGTACGGAGTACACGCGGCTGGGCTTGGATGGGGGGGGCGGTGGACTGGCTTGCTTTCTTTTTGCCGTTTTCTTTCTCTGGTGTGCTGCTTTCCCAATGGAGTGCCTCGCTTTTACTTCTTTTTTTTCGCTTGATCTTGCTGTTACTGCCCTTCTTCCTTATTCTTGCTTCCCTTTTCTTTTTTATTTTATTTCTCCTCGCTGCTAATTTCTCCCTTTCCTTTTGACGGGCCGAATTCTCCTTACTTTTTTTTTTCCCCTTCTTGATATCTTGATTTACTTTTGTATCAGAGCAATAATTCTTTTTTTTTCTCCCGTGTATATTTCTTTTCTTTTTTTAAAAGGCTTGCCTTCTAGTTCCCTTTCTTTTTTCTTTTTTTCTTTTTTTTTTTTTTCGCCTATTGGCTTGCTGCTATAAATGAATTATCCCGTCTTTCTTTCATTGGGGCCTGCATGTCATGCCGTCTTTTATGCAGAAACGGGGCAATGGTCATGTAACATTTCTCCCTTTCAGGCACATGCCAGGCCAAGGGCAGAGAGCTAGGACATGTACAATAGCCACAAGCTAGAGTATGCCAGTGACTGAAGTGTAAAAAGCCACCACCCTTCTTAACCTTATTGTCCCTTCCGGCAGATTCTGTCCTACACAGCCGGCTAGGCTAAATAGTAGCATGCATGTAAAGATATCGGCCGTTTTGTCTTAGAATCGCATCGTTAATCGGGCGCCTTAAGAGTACAGAATAAACTCTACTATGCGTCACCGGAAGCAACAAATGAGAGAGAGTAGGACTAAAAAAAAAGAAAAGAAAAGAAAAGAAGAAGGGAATAGAACGACGAAGAACAGGAGGAAGAGAGAGAAAAGGTTTACTACCTAAAGGAGGACAGAAGTTAACTGTAAAGGAGGAAAAGATGTAGCTGGCTGCCCCTGTGTCCCCCTTTCCCCAACCTAGTGACAAAGTAATATGCACAGGAAATCTGGGTAAAACAAGCCTGCTTATGCAGGTGGGCTGAGGTGACGTCATCCTATGTGCTACACCTCCTCTTAACTCTCCTAGGAGATATATCAGATAGTTTGTGTCAAAGCGCCAGTATCTAGCCCTCCCAAGCATGCCAGGGCTACTATAACGGATCTTCTTGGCATGTTTGCTACACAGGATAGACTGCAGAAGGACAGGAGATGTACAAGTAAAGACATATATTCAAGTACCAGCAGAGCAGAACAAAAGAAGAGGGTTGAACACCTAGAGAACACACTCACACTTCCTCTCATCCAAAGAGTTGAGGCTTATGCACTATGACGTTATCACCTAGCTTTAGCGCCCTTTTTTCACGTGGCAGTGGGTTCCTGTTTGGAGGTTAGCGTAAAATGTTAAATTTAACCTCCCGTTGCTTGGCTATCTTTAATTATCAAGATGGGAGATAAAAGGAGGCAGCATGTTGGGGATAGGAGCTCTGTTTTGTAGGATATCTGCTTGTTTACTTGCTTTGTTGTGGTTTGTTTACATGTCTGGCGGGGAGAGGGAGACACAAATAAGCTGGGATCGAGCAATTGAGTCGGTAGGAGCAGAAAAAAATGTACATTTCAAGGGAAGCATGCATAGGGGAGGAAGACGATGTAAAGCTGCAGTAAAGCAAGTAGAAACAGCCGTTTAAACGAATAGTTTGTAGCTTATATGGGATATCCCCAGGCGGATTGGCGGCTAGAATGCCTGGTGCAGCTCGGGGACAGGTCAGGAAGGCCTCGAGATGTCTCTGACAAGCCTCGAGGATAGGACACGGCGGCTGGCAGGTAGAAACACTCTTGTCACTGCCCAGCTGGCTCAGGACGGACAGGACAGCGCGGTGGCCGGCAGCAGGACGTCGTGAAGCCGCTGCCGGAGGAGGCAGAGCCTTGCCTGATTGGATAGAGGCCCCTCGTGCGAAACCTCGCTTGTGCGGTTGCTCGGTAACCCGCCCACGGCCGCACTATAAAAGGCCCCTCCTCGCCCCCTCTCCTCCCTCTTTTTCTTTTCCTTCTTCTTCTTCTTCACCACCACCACCATCATCACAGCAAGTTCGTCCAGCTCGCTACGACGTCTCGTTCTCCTCTCTCAATCCAATATCATCTCATCTCTTTCCATCTCTCCAAGTCTTCATCGACTCTCCGTCTGCAATCAACATGATTGTCTCTACCAAGCTTATTCTTGCCGTCCTGGCCTTCGACGCTGCCATTGCAGCTGCAGGTATGTGGTATCTCCTTCATCATCTTCTTCACACACACCCTCCTTGTCTTGCTTGACACGTATTGCTTCCTCCTTGATGGTATCTAGATACCTTATAGGAGACGTGATATCGTGGCCTTGCAGAGTCAACACCTTTCTACCATTGCATTCACGTCGTTTTTTCGTGACTTGTTGAAGACCCAGCTCCTAACTTGTCTATCATGTATAGCTCGTGCTTATGGGCCTGCCAATGTCCACCACGGCAACATCTTTGGACGTGATGGTAAGTATATGTTGACTCCCATGTTTGCAAAAGAAAACAAGCAAAGAAACGCGTCCAAAATGGCCATGCTAACGGGTATCATAGGCGAAGCGGCTGTCACTGTCACTGTGACTGACTGCAACTCGGCTTCTGGCCCTGCTCCTTCGGGCCCTGCCACTTCGGCTCCTGCCCCTTCGGCTCCTGCCACTACCATTGTCAGCGTCTCCGTTCCTGACGTGACTTCTGCCGTTCCAACTGGCCGTCCTGAAGCTCCGATCACTTCTTCTGTTGAGCATACTACCACTGGAGCTTCCACTGAAGTCCCCCCACCATCGATGTCTACTCCAGTTAGTGAGACAAAGACTTCAGTTGTTTCCCACGAGACCCCGCGTCCTACCCGCGCTTCTCCTTCTGAGACTGTCGCTACCCCAACTCCTTCTGCTATGGCTTCTCGCCATGTTGGCTTCAACGCAGTTCTCGCCGGTGTTATCGGCGCTGCCATCTTTGCAGCTTTGTAACTCAGCTCAGATGATACGGACAAGCATCCCTCTGTGTTCTCCCTTCACTGGTTTCCCTTTTTCAACTGAGCACACACATGTCAATCTTCCACTGATGCACTGTTCCCAAAGGCATGTACCACCTTGAGTGGCTTACATCACTATCTGACTGTTTTCAAATTTCTCTGACTTTTTTTCATTTGTGATTATTATGATCCTTGGGGGGTGATTTGAGGAAAGGAATATGGTTTCATGTTAGGCTTGCACAGGCAATTTTCACGGCGCATCGGATCGGATCAGGGGCGGCCTTCCATTACCGGTTTATCAAAAGGATCTTTAGTTAGCATAAAATTAGGAGAGTCTGGTCTAGCCATTCGCTCGTTTGACAATAATTCCAAGGACTATTTCTCTCCCATCTTCTTCTGCTTTTTCCTACTGATAAGTTGCTCCTTAGGTTGATGGATATGGGTATAGGTGGCATGTAGCCTTCGTTGGTATTAATATTATGAGCTATTGGAACGGTAAACAAACCCTCGGCTGGGCCGCACTAGTAGCGGAGGTATCAAGTAAACACACACAAAACACGTCGGCAAACGCTGGCAACTTACCTCCCACAGAAGTACAAATGAAACAAATCACGATCTAAACAAACACAACGATAAATATGTAGCCGGACCAGATCGCTCCGATTAATATACGTAATGCATAGTTGTCCAAACTCTTTCCATAAACATAACAAAAACAAACTCATTGGCTGGATATTGGAAAAAAAGGGGTATAATCACACGAGTAGAGAATAGCCCAAGGTTGGTGATTAATTACGATGGGCATATCTGGGGCTTCGCTTCTCTCTCTCTCTCTCTCACACTCTGGTAGTAATTTTTATATGTTCTCCGTATATTACTGCTGCGCAGAGTCCTTCAGAGATTCGGCGCATATCCGGCACCCATCACCAATTTTATCTCGTAAAAGTCTGGCATTGGTGACCTTGAGGCCGACGGTACGAGAAAGGGCCGGAGATTGGATAGAGGAAGGCTGATAGTGAAGCCTCGGTGAAGCTGGGTCCTGTTCTTGTGGAGTACCATGTTCTTCGGGTGTTGGCGGGCCATGAAGGTGGGAGACGTGGTATATATGACCACATGCAAAGACGACAATAGTCTCCGTTTCTAATAAATCATTAATGCCGGTTAGAATAACAAAACTGATGCTGTCGACAGGTCTCAGGAGAAGGATAAGCTCACCTTGCTCAACAAATGGCTTCTTACAACCCGCACACCGTCCTGGAGTAACATCCTTTGATGGTCTTTCCTGTTTCTCGTCAATAGTCTCGCCATTTGTACCGGGGTGTGCATCTTTATCTTGGCCATCAGCATCTTCAGCAGCACTATCTTCGTCATGGCAAACGTCAAATTTCATTCCCTGTCGTTGACCTTTCCGCAATGCGTCCATTCGGATAGCAACTTCACCAGCCAGAACTTTCGCAACCCCCAGGCTTATACTGGCTTGGATATCATGGTCACGAATCATTCTTGTAAGGCCTTCTCTCAAGCCCTCGATCTCCAGTCCGCTGGGGATTCTCTTCACAAGCTTTATAGGATCAATGGCCGTGCTTGCTTCCGTGAGTAGCGCACGGATATATTCCGGTTTATCCATCGAGTACGATAACAGATCGTCCCAAAGATCTGGATCATCCTGAGATTTGGCAAAGGAGATAGCATGAGATATGTCGTTCAAACTCGAGAGGATTAGCTGAAGTGCCCGCTTCGTTTGTCCAGTCTTAGACAGGAGGTAAATAAGTTCCGGCGTGAAGTTTCGACGTTCACAGATAGAACATGCTGTGTCGTAGGAGTATGATGTGCTTGACTGCAAGAATTCCATGAGTAAGGGACGGTCATAGTTCGCAAACAGCTCGACGACTGTATCTGCAAATCCGTCGATCATTATTCTTCCTTCGTCAGCGACTAGTTTCCCAGCCTCTGCTTCGGTTCTGTGGTGTCCGCGAGCCCTGATAGCAGGCCTGCCTCCTTCTTTAGACACGAAGTCCCCTCTCCAGAGTGCACGGAGGTAGAAATAAAGGAAAAGTCCCAGATCTGCCTCTTGTAGTTGCGTGACGACTGTTTCAGGGCGGACTATACCATTCGCTGCCTCGCGCACAAGTAGCTTGATAGGTTCTGAAGTAGCCTCTTCTAACTCTGCGGTAGGAGCAGTCTTTATTCGATTCTTTGGTACCCGGAGTAAGATAAAACCAGGAACGTCCTCAGAAACAGAATCAAGTAGATGATACTCTCGAATCAGACTCATAACAGCGTCCCCATCTTGAAGTTTTATATAGCACCGCAAAGCTTCGCGATAGTGCCCACCAACCAGGAATAACTTAGCAAGGCAATTCAAGAGATTCCTCCAATCATCAGTCCCTTCATCTGTCAGGAGAAGTTGGTCTTGTATAGCAGCAGTAACGCTATCAGTCTCAAACAAATTAGGGGGCCAAAGTTCTATAAGCTCATTGAATCTGACTCGGTCGCGGGAAACATAGTGGCCAAGGATGACCTCATATACGAATGATGGTAATGGAGGCTCAATGTCGATAGGCACATGGGGTGTAATTTCATCAAATTTCCCGTTTCGCGCAAAAACACAGATCCAGTGATCCCATGCCGCAGTAGTACGAAGGACTTTGGTACAGATGTTCCCAGCCTTCTCCCACTCCCCGTGGCCAACTAGCTGCTTCAGCCACAACTCGCCGACGCGACGCTTCTCTTGTTCAAGCTTAGTGCTACCAGAATGGCCAGTTGTCTGAATAGAGGAGTTATCGAGTAACGTTAACCCCGCGTGACCTGGAGCACTTGGAGTTGGGGTACCCGGCGGACTTTCTTCGCCTTCACCAGAAGCTACATTGAAAGCATCTGGGTTTTGTTCAAGTAGTTCCCAGGCTTCTTCATACCGCTCGCGAGAGTCAAGCCAAGCTAGCCGATCCTCAAACCCCCTTTTAACAGCAAGGATGCAATCGTAGGGGCTATGGACGAAAACCCTAACCCCTGCTGTTGCGGCGATTTCAATCTCTTTGTTGTATTTTCCGCCATGAAGTAGGCCTGAAGAATCAACCGTACCAGTTACCTGGAAACCAGACCCCTTGTCAGCACTGCTTCCCATGCTGCGAGAGCTAGTCCCTGAGCTAAATAAACGTTTGGGATAAAGCGTAGCATCGATGAGGCCGGCTGTTATTGATTCTAGGGCTCCTCGGTGAGTAGTTGAAGCGATGCGACTCAGTGGAAGGGTATCAAGGTGGTAATCAGATGCAGAAAGATTTTCATAGTTTCGGACAGAGAGGATGTCCCCGCTCAGCTCTTCCTCGGTATCGATATCAATTAGCCGCAGCTCTGGCTGGAGACCATTCTGCCTTCGTCTAATTCCACGAGCAGGGCCAGCCTGCTTTGAAGGGGTTCCAGGATCGTCATCGTCGGGGATGATATAAGACAAAACAAGTAATAAATTTTGGGTATATAGCGAAACACCAGATATGATACAATCCGTTCGTAGTCTGTAATAATGTTAGAAACTAGCGAAATTAATTGAGAGCAGAGAAGAACCAACTTAGTCGTGATTTCAGCCGAGGCTATTCTCCGTTTCCCAACACCCGCCGATTGATCACCACGAGACACCTTTATGATCCATATTGTGCCTCCCCAACCAACAAGAAGTTTCTCAGGGCCATGATTCCCTAATCGCTGTGATCGAGTTGAGGCATCATCCACTTGCACAACAGATGCGGTTTCGCGCTCTAATGAATCCTCATCAATCCATACGACCCGTGGCTTCCACACTCCAGCCATTTCATCCCACATTTGAGATCGAGGTCTATCTGTATGACCAAACCGCTCCCATGCATGTTCGGCCTCTGTTTGTTCAAGGTGTAAATGTGAGCGCATGATTTTTATGCCCTCTTCGTTCACCCAAGCAACATATTTTCCTGACCTCGACCACTTAATGCAGCTTATGGCTCCTTCACCATTGTGCAAGACCCTGTCTTTCCCGTTATTCCCTCCAAGACCCAGGGATCCAAACCAGCCGGTGGGACTTGCGCCCCCCAGTGTAGCGTTTGAGCTTGCACCAACACGGCCTCCAACGGTAAGGACCAGGTTTCCTGATTTACCTCCCGAGACGTAAGTCCTGTCACTCTTATACTCAGGCGACAACGCAACTGCGCTAACCGGCCTTCCAAAATTCCGGAGCGTCACATCTTTGGGGTCGACTAAGGACGCCACGCAAACATTTCCATCCATAGAAGATGTCGCAATATATATCGAGTTTGATGGGGTTGGTGGTATTGTGACTGGCTGTGGTTTAGATCCATTCGGGCTCTCGGATGCGGACGCGCCTGATCCACCACTTTGGATTATAGGGGCAAAATCCGCCTTTGTAGGCGCAGGCGGGGGAAATGGGGAGACTGAGATGGAGTCGATGCTCGCAGAATGAGCGTGGTATACTCGAAGGCGTTGGAAGAACGGGACAGAGTAAACATGCTACAGTTTGTTAGCCGGAGCTAGGAGTCGGTTGAGGTACAGGCTTGCATACAATGTTCCCATTATGGGTTCCAACAATCTACAACACTCTTAGTTAAAACCAGTTCTCCAAGTCTAGACCATTGTATCAGCATAGAGCATACCATCTTATTTCCGGCAGTCATGAACGTGCTTGTAGCGTCTTTATTGCGGTACAGTGGGCCAAGGACTGGTGTAATCGGGGCGTATTTGAGGCGCGGCTCCTCGTCTTCAACGTCATCCTCATCATCCTCCCCATCGTCACCTTCCTCCTCCTCCTCTTCGCCCTCTTCGCTCACGACTTCATCCTTCGGGGTGTCTCTCTCTCCTGCGTCAGTGGTCGACGTGCCCGGCTGTATCTTGTGTTTGCCGCTCTTTGCTTCACTGGGGCCCGCGGCCTCCATCCCGCTGGGTTTCTATCTTATCGAACAAGTGCGCCAGTGCGAACAGAAGCTGGCATCGCATATAAAAACACAAGAATCG